TGATTTTATGAAATGCGGCAGTGGTGGATGACAGTCCAGAAACCCTAACACTGAATGAATTAATGGCTAGACAGAGAACAGTAGAGCGTAAGTGAGCAGAGAGTAGAATATCAAGCTTGATCAAGCTAGATATTCTATGTGCAGAGAGAGACACATTTAACATATGAACATAGCATTTATCGCACTTCCATTTTCCAACAGTGTAGGTATTCATAGCACCGCAGGCTGCTCTGTAGTCACTGGGGAGAAACAGTTGTTGGGAGCAATTAATCTGGCCTATTTTCATGTGTTTTAGGGTGAAGTGAATCATGTTCTGTCACCCTCTGACAATATTGCATATGTCGTTGTTGTAAAAGGATACTGTGGTGGTTAAAGAGCAATATCTACTTGAAGACCTGTGAAACTCACCAAGGTTTCCAGTTGTGCCACATCTTGAATTTCCAAGATCAATGGGAAATTAATTGCTAGTTTCAGTTGTGCACAGTTAAGCTTATGCTGTACAATAGAGATATGTTGTTGGGATGGAAGAGGTAAATTGATGCAAGTGTAGTAAGAACGGGCTTGTTAATTGTGTCCCACCTCTGCATAAGGGTGTGTTTTGCTGAGAGAGGACAAAGAAATATAACTGTAATATTGTCAAAAATCTGTAGTAATAGGCAGAAGGGAAAATGAGGAAAAGTGTGAGTTGAAAGCCCAGAAAAGTGCATATTTTTTAACAGTTGTACTTCTAACAGCCCCTAGTAGTGCACCAGTAACACCATCATCTCAGCATTAAGCCCTAGGCCAGTTTTCAGAAGCACACTGTAGTCATTCAGGAACTATAAATTTCAGCACTTTCCTCAGATTTCCTGTACCATAATAAATAAGCCTGTAAATATGCATAAATTGAGGCTTAATATTCTTCTTGGGATTCTGATGACACCCACTCAAGTTTCACTGTCATGGTTGTTGATGCATATGAATGTAGTCTAGATGTAGGAACTATGTCTTTTGTGTTATTTCATCTATTTGATTTAAGGAGTCTGAAAAAATATCATTCTCTCCTGTGCCATAGATACCTGTGAAGTCCTAAAATACTGGTGAAAAACTGAGGTAAAAAATACATTCCCCAGAAAACATTAGTGACTTGTAATGTTTTGAATGTCAAAAACTTGTATACTGATTTCCTTCCTGCAAGCTAGCTTTGAGATCTGATACAAATTGTGTTGATAATTTTTGGTGGGAATAGGACTTGGACCTCTGTTTTTCTGTATAATATTTCATGTAAGGGAAACTTGAATAAGAGTTTTGTGGTTTTTTGTGGTAAAGGTACTAGTGGAGCTCTGAAGTCCATGTTGTTCAGCTGCCTTTTTAGCAAAACATTAGCCCAGTCCATATAGCAGTGTAGCAAAAATTTATAAAGGCCTCTGAACTGTTTGCAGATTACTGTAGCAAATCCACCATTTTACAGAAAGTATACTGAACAAAAGGGAAAATTTGTGAAAGTCATCAGCTTTTATGGGTGTGCATGAACACTTTCATGACTCATCTCAGCTCTCACTTGTTAGTGGAAATGGGGATGAACTAAAAAGGTCTGAAGTCGCACAAGATGCTAATTATTCTTGTGTACTCCAGGGCTTGTTTATGCTGGCTCAGGCAGTACATCCATCAAAGCCAAAAGAGTTGTGTTTTGTCACTATAGTTCTGAGTGCTGGCAGATGAAGAAAATAGTTTCTTTGTCTGTCTTGTATGTCACGTTGTTGATGTTGTTTCTGGCTTAAAATCAATTGGGAAGGAAGCATGACCTGAATTGGCTGAAGTAAATATTCTTTTACTTTGCATAGGCCCTGGTGTTGCATCATAGAAGTGTAGGACTTGATTTTAATCCAGTACTGCAACTCAGGAAGCACCTAAGCACGTTTAAGTTCCATTGACTTCAAAGGATATGAGGATGACTTGCTGAGATGTAAACCTCTTAAATTATACACACATGGCCAAGTCAACATCACCTCAGAAATATCATTACTAACGCTAAAAGAAAAGCCACAAGTGCTGGAGGGAGTAGAAGGTAGTCAGGTAAAAGAGAGCATAGATAAAACCCATGAGTTAATTCTTAAAAAAATGTATGAACCAGCTGTAGGGGCAGATACGCTGGAAAGGACAAACTGCATCATCATCAGTAAAAAAGGAATGATTATGGAGTTTAAGGAGTATTACATTCTGAGTCAGTTGCTAAAAACACTCATTCAGGAGGTGAGGACCAGAAACCTGAAAAGAGTGAAAAGTCAGCGGGAACAGGAACTTCTCAGACAACTGTGGAATACAGATAAAAAGAACGCCACTCTCACAGTTCCTAGTCCTAAGTAAATCTCCCTTACCCTAAGGTAAGGCTAAAAGAAGGAATCCGATATATTGGTCTAGGAGTCAAAATAACTAAAGGAACCAAAACAATTAGTCCTCTTCAGGTAACTGGAGAACTTGACAAGCTGAGGTTAGTCACACAGTATTAAGCAAATAAGGGTGGGACTGATTAAAGACAGGTACCTACAGTCTAGATTCTGCAGCTGAATTAACAACTGAATTAACAACTGAATTAACAACTTCAGGCTCTCTTGGGAAGAAATAAGCATTTTTTAGGATTAAATTCTTCTTACCCATTTTAAGTGTTTGCTTTAGAAATATATTAATTTAAACATGAGTCAGCAGTGCACCCCTACAGAGATGAGGCTTACTGTGCTACATCAGCAAACTGGTAGATCAAGAGAAGCAATTGTCTGTCTCTATTTGGCTCTTGTGAGACTGCATCTCAGTGGAGTACTGTGTCCAGTTTTGGGCTCCTGTGTACAGGAAAGCCATTAATAGGCTCAGCAGAGAGCATGGAGATGCCACTTAGAATATGCAGCATATAACGATTGACTGAAAGCCAGGTTTGTTCAGCCAGATGAAGAGTGACTTGATTGCTGTCTTCATCTACCTGATGGGCTTATAGAGAGGATGAAGCCAGATTCTTCTCAGATGTGAACAGAAAAAAAACCAAACAAAAAAACAGAACAAGAAGCAATGGAAGCAGCCTGCAGCAAGGGAAATCCTAATTAGATGCATGGCAAAATTCTTCATGGAGGAAGTTGCGTGTGTGCAGGTTGCCCAGAGAGGTTCTGATAGGTTGGAGATTTGGAGATTCCAAATCTCCCTGGAGATTTTTGGTGCTTGACTGGAGAAGGCATTGAAGTGAGTATGGGTGAGTGTGTGAGGTAATGAACAGTAATAAATTTGTTGCATACCTCTTTGGAGGTTGATACAGCATACAAGGCAGTGAAGAATAAGGCATTACAGGTTATCTACACAGATAAACTTTGTGAAGTGTTCCCATTAGTAATCCCTTATTTTTGGCATCATCTTTCTGAATATAGAACAGATGCTGCATTTAGAGCTGTATAATCCTAAGAGGAGTGAAGAAAGCCCCAGTCCCCATGAACAAGTGACTCTGGAGAATAGCACTTCCTTGGGAAACTGTATAAAGATGACTCTACAGAATTGGTGACCAAATGCAGAATTTAGCCCATGATTCCCCTCTCATCTTCTTTTTTCATCTCCAAACCCTATTCTTGGTACAGCACAGAGGCTCCCTCCCGACTATAACACTTAAGATGTCTTCCAAAGGAAAGTAAGGTCCATGGGAACGCTATGCCACTGGCTTTCCTTCAAGCTGCAGCTAGGACATACACGCAGGGGCGAATCCAACTGCCCGTTCTGTAACAAACTCTTGGGTTCCCTAGTTTACATGTACTTTGAAAGTAACTTTAACTTTGAAAGTAGGATGGTAGACACTTTAAGTCAACACAAGCTGTCCAAGTTTAATTGCACTAAGATGGTTTAACACAAATACAGAACTTTTAAATGTTCCTTTTCCAGCTTCATTTTACTCAGGTGGCTTGATTTTGGGCATGACCTCACTAGCACAGAGTAAATGAATAGTAGATTGCTAACACTATAAACATTCTGAAGAACAGTATTACACATGGATGTGAGTAGTTCCTAATCCAAGTTTCATGTTCTCTACTGAAAGGAACAAACTGTCCCTTATACTTTCTAATAATCTTATGGAGATAATACTGGTAGGGTAAAAGTTTTGTTTCTCTCTTTAGCGTTAATTACAAATTTAAATTGTCCATTGTCAGTTGCCTTATTTGAAGACATAAATGCCCAGAATTTTGCACATGATGGTTTTTGTTTTTTTGGACAGAACTTGAACTGGGATAATATTAAGTAGCATTTCCTTACTTCTTTGTACTCTTCTTCATATGTAATTCTTCATAAGGCTTATACTCATAAACCTTCATAACTCTTAGAAAGCATGCATTATAAGTAGTCACCTTTAAACAAATAGAGCATGCTTGATCCAAGTGCCCATAGCAGGCTATAGGAAGATTTATGCCCATTCACAAGATACTGCTTTTGCGCCACATTTATAGAGACATCAGCATGGGCAAAACCATAACAAGTAGTTGCAATCTACTAGTAACAAGTTGCTACTAGTACTACCATAAAACATGCCTATAACACTTTATGACCCCCCTTCCTGAAATAAATGTACAGAAGCAGTCTTTGTTCAAATCTCTGTTATTTAGTTTAGACAATTTTGTTAATCCGTGCCCATTGTTCAAAAAATTCTCCAGTCATGATGCGTTCCCATTGTATTTGTGATGCTGAGTCCAATGAACTATTTTTACTTTTTTTAACGTTTTCTTATCTTTTCTTAGCATGATCCCATCAAAATGACATAGTTTTAATGAGCCATTTTGCAAACAATGTATTAACTGACTTAAAAGTAAGTTGATCAACAGTCTTACAGACCCTTAACATTTTCATAAAAAATGCCATCTTTGCAACTTTTTTGAAGGAGACTAGTCTTTCTTGAACTACTCATCCAAAGCTTCCACCAAGTCTTTATAAGATAAATACAGTAGGGTGATTCAGACCAGACTGAGCTTTCAAGTCTGTTACTGCTGGTTTTGTTTCAGGATGTGTTGGAGTTTGGGATAACATCACCTGTTGGCGTCCTGCGAAGATTGGAGAGACTGTCACTGTCCCTTGTCCAAAAATATTTAGCTTTTATTCTGGCAAACCAGGTATTTCATTTTAAGGTGTATTTTTGCTGGCTTCTCTTTGGTATTTTATAACGTAAGATGCTAAAATGAGGGTTTTTTTCAGTTTAAGTTTTTTATTTTCTTTTTAAAGAGATGAAATAATAGATTCTTAACATGATACATCATGAAAAGACCAAATAATTGTCTTTGTGGTCCATATGGTGTTCTTTGAGTCAGATACTAAATATATATTCTGATACAGTGACACTCATCAAGGCTGAAGACATTGCTTGCTCTTTTTGACCTATTTATGTTACTGGTTAAGGCAGCTGAGCCTGACTGACATCTTTAACTGTTGCCAGCAGGTCACATGCAGCTTGTTCCTTCTGTGCTTAGGAGGGAAGCTCTGCCTTGCCTTCATGAGAATAATGAGCCAACATTAACACATAATACCTAAAAATTATCACTATTGCAATTTAAGGTAGTTACTATGAAACCTTTTATTCTGTTTTTTTAATGGAACTTGAAAAGAGCTCATCAGTGGCTGAGACTGCTGAAACATTTAACTGTTTTAAGTCTACCATCTTCTGCACCATCCTGTCAATATATCATACTGTGGTTTAATTTTGCACTTTGGCTTGTTAGTGGGGTTTTAAAAATAGATGATACACGCATAGCATTTCACATATGTATCTCAAAATGCAGCAAGAAAAAACCTTATCCCCATTGCTCAGGTGAGAAGCCTTTGTCATGAAGAGCTGGTGAAAGATGCAAAATATCACAGTGATTTAATTCTGCTTTTGAGGTCTCTGTGGAGAGCTTTTTAATAACATTACTTTTAACATAGAGGCTAACCTGGGGTGTGACTAAAATACCTTTGTTCTCAAAACTGTTGATTAAGTCTTGCTCCAGTAAAAAATAGATAACTAAAACAATCTACAGATGAGCAAAGATTTTCTTCATTCCTGGAGCTGGTGAATCTTGATTAGATTATCGTGGATAGTCTAAACAGTTTATAAAGGGGAAAGTATGTGTAATCTTCACTAAATCTTATGAAATCTATAAAAGTATTCAGATGACTCAAACAAAGATATTAAGGTGTTGTCATGAGACAAGGGAAACTAATAAATATCAAAAATTCAAAATCTGAATTAAATCACACTGCTTCTGTCTATTTGCCAAAAGCTGGAGCATGCGCGCTCTCTCTGGAGTTTGGATGTTTGATATTTAACAACTGTTAGCATCTTATATTACAACAACATTTTAATTTGCCTATAAAACAACTGCAATAAATATTTAAGTTTGAAACCTTCACAATCCATTACAACTCTATCTCGCTTGGGCATGGCGTCATCAAGACTGAAAGATCACTTCCTTTTTATAGTTTGCTATAATTTTCCCGTATACAGCTTTTTTTATAGCTACCTGTTTACTTCTTACTTGTGGAGCTAACAGGGTGGTTTTTTAGAGGTACCTGTTCATTAAGAAGATTTTTTTAAATCTTATCTTTCTATAATTTCAGAGAAGGAAGACAGCAAATGTCTTGCATGGTTGATTCAATTAAGATCTAAGTATCTCAGCACCTTTGTAATTCGATTATGCTCAGGAATATGTAATTTATTTAATTCATACACAGCACATTTCAAATTCACTTGATTCTTTGACAGGAAATTATAAAAATATCTTTAAACAAGAAATATAACTCTTTTTATTTAGCCAGATTTGTGAGATGTATGTTTTAGTTTTTTCAGGGTTTAAGGGAATTAAAATTCTACTACAAGATGATCTAGACTGCTGTATTTTTTATGGAAGTATTCCAAATCATAAGTAGGCTTTTAAATACCATCAACTCTTTAAAAGATTTCTTAATTTAAATTGTGAACTAAAAACCACAATTGTCTTCCCATTTTTACAACTTCTGGAGAACTGGCTCTTAATTTCTTCTGTGATGGTCAAGGTTACAGTTTAAGCATACCACATAATTAATTCTCTATTGAATATTAGTAACTTTATATTAAATGACTTTTTACTGCAAAAGCAATCATATTATCCTATAATGTTTTTACTGTATTGTACATGACAATGTAAGCATATGAGTATCAGAAAATGACTCTGTGAACTTTTTATTCAAATCTATGTGTCAAGTTACAGGTTTTAAATGAAGTTTCCATCTGAAATATTTAATTGCATGCAATGATGGTGTAGAAATAAACAATGTCTTCCATAGAACATTGCCTAACTGTCTCTAAGTTAGAAGGCCTTACAGTACTTATAGTAGAAAATGCTCCATCATCTTGAGTACACAGTCTTTTTCTTGCAAAACTGGCTTTGACGTAATTTGTGATTCTGTTAACACATTCCTCTGCTCTGCCTAGTCAGAGAAGCTTGATGTACTTTTAAATGGAAGACTCTTCAGAGTGTATAAATAGGTTACATTTTCTTTAAAAAATGGCATGTCTGTGCCAAATGGCAGAAGTGGTCCTGTTGCTTGAGAAGACACCGTGGTTTGAGGTCAAGGCCTTGTTCTAAGCTAGAAAGATTCCGTTGTTGGTTGGTCAACCATTTGTAGGATATTTACAGCTTTCCACTGAAGACTTTATACAAAGAAGAAATTCCAGTAACCAATCAGCAAGATAAAAATCACAAAAGCTTTAGTTTGGAGTGTATATAAACATGTTTGGTTATTCTTGGCCAAAGTTGATCTGTGACACATAAATTTCTTCTTGTGTGGTGAAAACCAGGCATCTTTAAGTCAGTTAAAGACCAGTGGTAAACTCCAAACCAAAGCAGTATGTCATTATAGATTTCAAGTATCATGGATATAAATTGCTGTAAGAAAGGTGAGGGGAAGTTGCTTATGATTTAACATTGTAAGAGTAAGTTATAATAATTTTAATGACTATTCTTTATTCTGACATCAAACTCTTCAGTTTTCTCCTGTTGAAGCTGTTCAATATTTTATGAACATTAGTTCATATTAATTAGATTAAGGAGTAAAATCATGAGTTGCCCCTATCTCATCTGTGTGACTTCATCTGGGAAAAGAGTCAACTTCTCTCAGTTCCAACCAAAAAATCCTTTCTGAAATTAATAGATGTTCAAAATTCCTTTCCAACCGTACTTGCACATCTCCTGTATGTTCCTTGGACTATACTGTTTCTGTGATTGGTTCAAAGAGTGAGATTCAGCAAGCATATTTATTTCCTCGTTCTTAACCTATCACATAATTTGGCCTTTAAAGTGCATTACCAACTCTACCAATATTTGCTGTAGCAGTAATTCATCACTATAATATCTGAGAGCTTTTATAACTCTTCAGTAGATCATTTGGTATTACCTTCTCAGAAAAGCTTAAATAGGAGGTTAGAACAACTCTCACTTAAATTACTTTTCTATCAAATTACTTTACCTACAAATTATCCCCCTTATAGAGTGAGCTGAAAGACTCCTTCCAGAATACTTTAGATAAAACAGCAAAATATTTCAGGCTTTTGCAGATGTAACAGAAATAGCTGTTATACGAGAGCAGAAGCCTGCCATCACAGCTTGGAATTACTTTTGTTTTTCTTTAGTGCAAAGGCAACTCAGAGCAAGAGTAAAACCCAAAGTAACATCAATGAAGAGCGCATGAAAGGAAATGGCTGGGTTGCTTTAACAGGAGTGCCAGGAAATACAGCATGTTAACAGAGAATGACAAAGTTAGGTTGTCTAAAGATTCATTGGTGAGGAGACTTTTGAATCTTTCTGATTTAAACTCTCAAATTTTGCTTTACAGGAAATATTAGCAAAAATTGTACAACTAATGGATGGTCAGATATTTTTCCTGACATCTTTAGTACTTGTGGATATAATGACTATGAGGATGATTATAAGGTAGGAAAAATATTTTTTCTTTTCATTTAGATGGTGGTGTTCGATACAACTATCAGACATATTCTGCTCCTAAATAATTCCCGGTTTACTCTATCAGAATTAATGGAAATCTGTAGTAATTTTTGGTAGCACTGATTGCCATATGCTTCGATTGCAAATGCCATATAAGATAAAATCAGAAATGTAGAATTCAGTAACTGAAACTCAAGGCTATATACTGTTGGTAACTGTAGTAATGCATCTATATTTCTAATATTGCAGTTATTGGGCTTAGGCACAGTATGCTTTTCATTGTGTTATTTCTAGAAGTTTCTATTGTAACAAATCCTAATACTGTAATAATCTGTTAATAATACATGCACCACTGGTACATGCTGGTATGTGTTTAAGTTACAAGTAAAACAGAATGAATTGAGGTCATTGGAATTATGGTGAATTTATATTGGACTTGAAATTGTGTTAGCAATTAGAAGTGGTTCAAAAAGCTATCAAGGTATCTTAAATACAGTATAAATGGAAAAACAAATTTGTCCCCTTTGCAGATGCTATTTCTTGTTCTTTTTGTTGAGGGAAGTACTTTTTCCATCACATGTTTTACCTATTTTTTATCTGTTTTTCTGCTAACAGAGCAAGATTTTGTTTACAAGGATGAGCTCAAAGTGTTAGTAAAACTCTTGTTATCATGAACAGATGAAGTCCTCTCATGAATAAAGATACTCGGCTGGTTGGGTTTTTCTGGATTTTCAATGTGTGGAATAGCTCTAGCAGACTTGTTCTGTCTGGTTTGCAGAGATGTGCTGGCATTCTGGCTAAGACATGCAGTTCTTGCCATCTCTTTCTGTATTTAAAAGCCCAGCCATTACTGTAGTTGAAAATAGATAATAAATAGAATGGATAGAGTATGTTGTTTTCCCAGCTTTTCTGAAGACACATTCTAAAACATTGGTATCATCTGACAGCTTGGGGACACACATGCATTACTGCTAAAACAGCCATTTTAAAACACTGTCATTCAACCCTGACATTGTCATGTAGAGTGAAAATGGATCAAGACTTAAAAATTCAAACTAACAAAAGATAACATTTCAAGTAGTGAGAAGTACTTAATTAGCAGATAAACTAGAATAATAGAAAAGCAGTTCTTGTTTGACATTCATTAGTAATTTGAAGGACAAGAATGAAATGCAAGTTGACTATACTTGCAGAAATGAACCTAGAGAAACTGGAAATAGGAAGTAGTAGCAACATTTACAAAAGCCTGGAAAAGAGCAAATAATAAACCAGTGAGGATAAAAATCAGAAGAGAGATGTGGAAAGCAGGTACTGAAAAAATTATTAACAAAAGTACAATAGATAGATAGAATATCATAGAAATCTAACATAGATAGTGTACAGAATAAATGCATAGCATGTTGCAGGGAGGGAAAGGGGAAATGCAAGCACTGATTGCATTTCAAGCGACATGGCCTGATGGCCCTGTCCTTTTTTCTCAAGTACCAGTGTCATGGCTCAGGGAATATTCTTTGCCTGAAGATCATAAACTGGTTATTTCAGCTGGACAAGGCAATAATTCTTTTCTAACCTTCAAGCTGACAAGTCAAAAAGTGGATACAATAATGCTGGCCTATTAGAAGATAACTGTTCCTGTGCAAATATTATGTATTTTGTAGTTAAAGAAAGGGCAAAAATTATCAGAAGAAAATCTGAAAAGGGAAACAGGAAAGCATATGTTTAAATCTCTCTCTTCATGGGAGACAATATAAAAAATGCAAGTATCATGCAGTTGTGAGATTTCAGGAGGCATTTAAGGTCCTGCATCAGCCAACTGTTACATGGAAAGAAGATGTTTTCTTGAATTTGGATCTTAGCACTCAGTGGTAGCACCTCAAAACAAAAAATGCTTACTCAATGTAAGTCAGTATAGTTCATTTTTATTTGACCTAGAATTTCAACAAAAAGAACTCAAAATGAAATCCTAAGTATTTGGATACAAAATATTTTGGACACAAAAATATGCAACAATATGCTTTGCAGGTGATGTGTGAGGTTGCCCTCAAAGTTACAGTAACTAAGGAGATCATATTTTAGGGAAGGTGGCAAAATACTTTTCTTGTGGTAAGTCTTAAATTTTCTTCTGTATGCTTTTTTCTGAAGACAATGTTAAAGGAGTAGGTACAAACTGTCTTCGGTGTCATTTTGGTGCCTGCATCTTCACTGCTGAATGAGTTTCCGTTATAGAGCCAATTAAATATTTATTCCTTTTTTTTTTTTTCTGTCTTTTAGGATTTGGACTTGTATCTTTACTTCAAAGGGGACTTATTTCCATACCTATTTTTTAAAAAAAAAAAAAAAAAATATGCATGCATACAGACATATATATATGTATCTCCAAATATGCATCTATTTTGGGCAGTTTTGAATATTCTACAGAAGGATTAAATGATAGAGATTGATAAGCAAATATTGAAGAGGCAATTTATTAATAGGTACCAATTTTTTATGCTGAAAATGCACTGAAATGAGAAAGCTTATTTAAAAATACCATAAGCATGTCATTTATTATTTCTCTGCCAAGTTCACTGATATTGTTCAGGGTATGAAAGAACTTGTCTGCTTCCACAATTTGCATTGATTTTACTCTTCAGAGTTAAAATGTTCAATTTTCATTCCATGTCAAATGGTATATTAGCAGGTTCTATAAAAAGAAATTATTTGCTTAACATTTTGAAATGAACTAGAAGTTCCTGATACAGCACTCTTAAATAGAAAGTTTTATTTTATGTTAGATCTTCTGTTGGTATTCTTAGTGCTTCTGTCTGTATTTATAGGGGACCAATTTGACAAGTATGACAGTGTCTGAACAAACTATCTGTATGTTGTTATCATATCAAATTGTATATCTAAGCCTTTATTATATGCTTCCAGTCTCTTTCCTATAAGTAAACTAGCTACTGCTAACCTTCAAGATCGAGTTTTAGATTCATCAAATGTCTTTTTTTTCCTTTTATTTTTCTGTTGAGGTATGGCATCACAATGGGAAAATGAATAGCTTGATTTGACCATGCTAGAAAAACACGTCAGGGTGTGTTAACCCAATCCAAGCCTCACCGCAATCTTTCCTTTCATGTGGACATATTTAGACATCTTCTATCTAGACTGAACATGCTAGAGATGTGTCCTAGCTGTCCTCAGAGGGTATTAAACTCTCTGTCAATATTATTAATATACAGCAAGATGCCTGGTGAATGTAAAGGACTGAAATGTGTCCACTTTACTTAAAATAATGACTGGGTCACTTAGCACAGTGTTGTCTAATCATAGTGTGAATTGGCCCAAGGCTTATTAGATCACACAAAACCCAATATATACAAGTTACAGCCTATGTGATTTGAATGCATAGGGTCATACAAAGACAAATTCGTGGAAAGATCCTCAGGGCTGTTAAATGTGGTGATACTACTGCAGCTTGTGCATAAGTAGAAGCATCATCTATGGAAGAAGTATTCCTCTATGTGGCCAGTTTCCTGAAGCATTCACTCTTAGGCTGCTGTCAGAGATAACATCCTGGGTGTGCTACCCACTATCCAATACAGATACACTACCCAAGACAAGTGGAGTCAAGGCAGTGATGTCAGGACTGACACGAACAAACACTGTCTTGAATGTCTGTAGCTACCTTTAGAAAACAGATGCATTACTACTGTCTGTGAAGTGGATCATTGCACTGGACTAATGGATTGTTTTTATTGAGTCTAAATTGAATCCTTCCCTCTCAACAAAATGTAATGCAGGGCAGCCATCTACCAATACTTTTTCTGTGTGCCTATTAGTCATGCTGTATTTATTTACATTACATTCTGCATTTTTCATTACTTAATGATGCTGTGATTATTAAGAGATACTTAAGGCAATGCTGGTGTCATCTTTTTTGGATGTTGTTTAAGGCTTAAGGTGCATTGAAGGAGAAGCATGTCAGAAAAGGGATAGCATTAATTACTTGCATAAAGATTATTAAATTCCATGAAGAATACAAATTTTATTACATATATTTTTAGTAAATTCTATTTTGCTCTGCACCATTTATAAAGCATTGAAGTACCTGATAAGAAAAAAGTAAATTGTCCACAACGTGTGATCCATCTCTTTATCTCAGTTTATATTTATTCTCTTATAAATAAGTACTACAAGATTTTAGAAATGGCTACTGTGTTGTTGAATTTCATTTTGCAGAAGGAAATAACTCGGGTTCTTTATTGCAATTCTATTTGCATTTACTTGTTTCAGTGTTTCTAAAGCACTGAACTCATCTGCTAGGCCCAGTTCTGATTTTACAGTGTTTGTACAGTTTAAGGTTTTCTGATATGTTCTTCTAGTATGAATATTTGGATACTATGGAATGTACTCTGACACACATATCATGAAAATGTAAGCCACAAATTTTAATATACTTGTAAGTAATCATACCTGTGAATACTAGACCCTATTACATACAGTATTACAGGACTATACTAGCCCACAGAATAAACAAAATGAAGAATCACTTGAGATGATAATGATCATAAATACTTTAGTAGTGATCCATTATATTTTTGGTTAAATGAATAAAGAGGTGTGGGTTTTTCTTTAACGTTAAGGGTGACATCTAGTCAATAGTAAAAGTCCTTTGGAAAAAGAATCAAGCCCTAAACTTTCTTCAGAGCATTTTGTCCTTCAGCATTGAATTACTCTCTCACCCCTAGAGGTCCTTCCAAACCAAGGCTGAGGTTGAAGATCCACTGGGTAACTGTCAACTTTGCCTAGGAAGCTTCTGTGCTATGTCTATTCTGTAAATAAACAGAAGACTTCTGTCTCCTGAACTTAGTAAAAATAGCATGAAACTAACTTTAAAGGAAACATCAGCAGAAAAAGGTGGCTGTTCTAAGAAAACAAAAGACAAGGGTGTGTAAGAATAGATTTTATAAAAAAGTGTATTGAAGATAGCACTAATTACACAAACTTGT